TTGTTGTTGTGCCCAGAGTCCTCAAAGACCTTAAGGGTCGTTAGTAAATTACATCACGCTAAAAATGACCTTTTTAGACCCCCTATCACGAATTGTCAAAAATTCTGTACGCCCCCCCCCCCTCCCGTTTCACATTACACCTAAAAAAAGTCTAGTTCTAAACCCTGCTATATAATGCCAAAGTAAGACAAAGTAACTTACTTAGTAAATTACGTCACGCTCGGGGGAGGGGAGAATTTGTGACACTTGTGACGTCATTTTTTTGTTGTTTTTTTAAATCTAAAATTTTCTCATTTTGAAAAAAATAAATAATAATTTTAAAAACTTTTATTTGAGGTCGAAATTGCCTCAGGTATTATAGGTACTATGAAACTCAGTTTTCTAATAATTCTCCATCTTGATCCATTGTGGGAAATTAAAAGAGTAAAATCTCAGTTAGGTCATTAGAGTTGAAAAAAAGAAAAGGGGGCGCTTTAAAATGGATCTTGTCCCCGGGCGAAAATCTTGTCCCCGGGCGCCAAACACCCTCACTACGCCTCTGATTAAATTTAATGTTGTAGAGAATATGTAAGAAAAACAAAATCAAATACACAGAAATATAACTATATTAACTTGCAGCACAGCAAGGGAAAAAGTATAATCCTTGAAAAATACAAATATTAATTGATATACACACACATAGAATACCATCTTGTAAGGCTCTTACATGCATATTACGTCTCGTAAATGTCCATGCAAATTAACAAAAATCTCTCCATGCTGGGAAAACTGCCAACTTATTTATTAGGGCTTATTTATAGGGTGGCTTTAGAACTTAGAACCCTCCAGAATTTTTTTCTTTCTAGAAATTGCATTACCCGTTAGCATTATATCGAAAAAAATTCCCAAGGGAGGGGAGGGAGTGGTAGAAAAGAAGCAGCAGCACAGTGTAAACATGTTTACCACAGGATTAGTGTCAGAGTAGCTTTCAGCTCTCAAAAAGGTAGTTTCAAGCTCCAAAGAGTAGTTTGGACAATTGGTGGTGGTTTGGGTGGAGGGTAGAGGCCGACCGAATTTCGGCTTCGGCTTCGGTTTCGGCGCCGAAAGTGGCCATTTTATCACTTTCGGCCAAGTTTCGGTTTCGGCCGAAACTGGAAAGTTAACTTTCGGCTTAATTTCGGTTTCGGCCGAAAGAGAAAAGTTAACTTTCGGTTTTTCTTCGGTTTCGGCCGAAATTGACTTAGACTTTCGGCCATC